CACTTGCCTGCGAATTTCCAGATTCCATTATTTATTTCTGCAGAGTAGTATTCCATTGTGTAGATGTGCCCCATCTTCTTTATCCATTCTTCAATTGATGGGCATCTGTTCCTCACAAATACTGCTGCTATGAACATAGTTGAGCAGATGTCATTGTTGCATGGATGTGGATCATTTGGGTATATGCCTAAGAGGGGGATTGCTGGGTCCTGTGGTTAACTAATTCCCATTTTCCTGAGGAACCACCATACTAATCTCCAAAATGGCTGTATGAGTTTGCACTCCCACCAGCAGTGGAGGAGTCTCTCCCTTTCTCCTCATCCTCTCCAGCATGAGTTGTCATTGGTGTTTCTAATTTTAGCCATTCTGTCAGGAGTAAGATGGTATCTCAAAGTTGTTTTGATTTGCATTTCCCTGATAGCTAATGATGTGGAGCATTTTCTTAAGCATCTTTCAGCCTTTTTGATTTCCTCTATTGAGAATTCTTTCTTCAGTTCTGTAACACATTTTTAATAGGGTTATTTGGTGTTTTGTTGACTAGTTTCTTGAGTTCTTTGTATATTTTAGAGATAAGCCCTTTGTCGGATGTAGGATTGGTGAAAATCTTTTCCCAGTCTGTGGGCTGCTGTTTGTTCTTGTCCACTGTGTCCTTTGCCTTACAGAAGCTTCTAAGTTTGAAGAGGTTCCATTTATTAATTATTGTTCTCACTGTCTGTGCCCCTGGAGCTATGTTCTGGAAGCGGTCTCCTATACTGATTTGTTCAAGGGTACCTCCTACTTTCTCTTCTAAGAGGTTCAATGTGGCTGGATTGATGTTGAGGTCTTTGATCCATTTGGACTTGAGTTTTGTGCATGGCTACAGACATGGGTCTATCTGCAGTCTTCTACACACCCTCATCCAATTGTGCCAGCACCATTTGCTGTCCTCGCCCCCATTGTATTATTTTAGATGTTTTGTCGAAAATCAGGTGTTCATAGGTGTGTGGGTTAATATCAGGGATTTCAATTTGATTCCATTGGTCTACCTGTCTATTTTTGTGCCAATACCAGGCTGTTTTCAGAACTATAGCTCTGTAGTAGAGCTTAAAGTCAGGAATGGTGATGCCTCCTGATGTTCTTTTATTGTATAGGGTTGTTTTGGCTATCCTGGGACTTTTGTTTTTCCATATAAAGTTTATTATTATCCTTTCAAGGACAGTGAAGAATTGTGGTGGGATTTTAATGGGGATTACATTAAATCTGTAGATTGCATACCTTTGTTTCCCTCAGAGTTGCCACATGTTGTTGGAACAGGTTCAGCTCTTCTACATAGGCATATGAAGAATTTTACAGAGTTTGCTCTCTTGTTCTTGGAGTAGTTTAAGTTTCTGCTTTCTATCCTTTTTCTGTTTTCTGAGAAATTTTAACTGAGTGTGCAAATCTTTTTCTAGTCAAGAGAGAGTTGTCTCCTCTTCTTCCTGTATGAAATAAGACTATAGTAAGGTCCAAGGATGGGAAGGAAACTAGGAGAGAATACGTATGACAAATGTTTAAATTTACAAACAAGGCAGTTTAAGCTTGGGGTGGTGGCACACACTTTTAATTCTAGCACTTGGGAGGTAGAGGGTTGAGGGATATCTGTGAGTTCAAGGCCAACCTGGTCTACAAAGTGAGCTCTAAGATGGCCAGAGCTATTCCACAGAGAAAACCTGTCAAAAAGTAGCTTATACCCAGCAGAAAATAATGTAAAGAGGATCACCTTGGATTTCTAGCAAAGAAGGGCAAATAGGACCTTGTTTATTGCTTGACTTATACTATGTGACCAAGAAAGATCTCAGAGTCCTGATCCTCCAACCTCTGTTTCAGGTGCTGAGATTACAGGTATTGGTCACCATGCCCAACTTCCTTTTTCAATTTTTACTATAGTAAAATATCCCTAAATTATTGCCCTATATTTTTCATCTTTGCCATTTTTAAGTGTATAGTGCAGTGGTATCAAATGCACGTAGTCTTCAAAGTAGCAACAAACTTCATGATTTTTCATCTTCACAATGGGACAAAAGCAATATGAACTCAGCAGAATCTATATTGCAAGTATAAACACTGCCAGTTTTTCACTTTAAGTTCAGTACTCAATTTAACACAAATTATGAAATACTTTTAAGATGGTCTCACTGTCCTTGAACTTGAGATATTCCTGGCTCAGGTTTCCACATGCTGAGATTACAGGCCTTCACAATCACACCAAGCAACAATCAGGTGTGTACAACCTTTTGACACTGAAAATATACTGACATGCATAGTTCATACCTGATAACAGGACTGTCACTTGGAGGGTAAAGGCTTGTTGTTAAGCCTGACAATCTGAGTTTGATGCCCAGAACCCACACAGTAAAAGAATAAAACCAACACAAGCAAATTGTCCCCTGACCTCTACATGCTGATGCCACACACCCGCAATAAATTCAAATACAAAAAAAAAAAAATTTAAAAAAAATAAATAAATAAAAACACCACTAACAATAAAGCTCTCATGTTTTAAGAACTTTATAATTTAAAAAATTAAATACTTTTAAAATTTAACATTATTATTGCTGCTTGTGTATAGAAAGGAACATGCAGTTTGCAATGTCATACATATGGCAGACATGGGACAGCTTTATGAAGTTGATTCTTTCTACTCATTCATTTTTGTTTTTGTTTGTTTTGTTTTGAGACAGAGTTTCTCTGTAGATTTGGAGGTTTTCCTGGAACTCACTCTGTAGACCAGGCTGGCCTTGAGCTCACAGAGATCTGTATGTCTCTGTCTCCTGAGTTCTGGGATGAAAGGCATGCACCACCAATGCCTGGTATTTCTGCTCATTCTTATATGGGTTCTGAAGATTGGACTCAGGTCACCAGGCTTTAACATGATAAATGCTTTATTCACTGATAGCGTCTTATTGGCCTGATCTCTTCTTTTATTTTTGACCAATACCTACCTGAGGGTAAAACTAGGGCATTATGCTGGTCAAGCTTCCACCACTGAATTGCATCCAAATGGTTAGGTTAGAGTTTTGTATTAATCCATAGGTTGGACATGATGGTTGCCAACTCTAAGACGTGTTTTGTGTGTCAGCTACAATTTTCAGTAACTGAACTGGATCAACTGTACAATTTTCTAAAAGTTATGGTGGCTTTTTCAGAATGTAAGTCCAAGTTAAAAAGTAAATATAGCAGTGTGATCATCATGACCACTAATTCATTTCATCTTGCAAAACTGAAATCATTAATTTGGCATAATGTCTTCATTTTATGCTCCCACCTATTTTATTATGCTCCCAATTTATTTATGCTCCCAATCTATTTTAAGTGTCAGAATAATTTTGTAAGAGTTATACAAGGACCAGAAAACTTACTTTAGTAAGAGAAAAGATGGTAAATGTCTAGTTCTTATTAATTAAATACTTACACTAATAATCTTATGAACATTTATTTACCAAAAACAATCAATTTAGTAGATCCTGCTCTATTCCTAGTGGATAAAGAAAGGGATAGAGTGAGTAGTAATTATATGCTCTACAAATAGAGTTTCACTTAGCATTGTTAAAAACTTGCCATATATTCAAGGAAGACAGATACACCAGTGTACTCCCAACTTCTCATGTACCTAATTTCACATTGAATATTTAATAAAAAAGAGAAACTTTATGTAGCAAATCTATATCATTTATGCTAATTTAAGGAAACTGCTCTAATATCCTGGTCTGCTAGAATGTTCTTCACTGCCCACTTCAAGGGCAGTCTGACTGCTAGACTTACTCCGTCTGTAGACACAAGTGGTAAGCTTTTCCTATAACAGTAAGTGGAACATGAGATCCAGTCATCATTACCTTTCAAAGCTCTCTATGTGTCCCAACTTTTCAGAACCATTCTGGATGATTCAGTGATATGCAGCTTTTGGTTACTAAAGGAGCCACTTGAAATTTGTCTGTTACTCCTTCTTTGTATCACTAGGTATCCTTGCCTCTTATTACCAACTTTATTCTGTGAGGGTGGATGGTAGCACAGGTATATATGTGAAAAAAATGGATGGAGGACAGAGATTAACTTTTGGGTGATACTGTCTACCTTGCTTTTTGTTCTAAAGCTAAGTATGAGCATGTATTTAAGTGTGTTGCATGTGAACCTGGTGCCCATTGAAGTCACAAGAGGGTGCTGGATTCCCTGGAATAGACGTTCAGGACAGTTGTAAGCCACCACATGTGCTGGTAACTGAAACCACCTCCTTTGCAAGAGCAGCAAATGTTCTCAGCTGCTCAATCTTTCTCCAGCTGCTATCTTGTTTTTAGGTATTTGGGAGACAAAGGTTCTCATTGGTTTGATGCATAAGACTCCAATATCCACCTATCTATGCTTCCCCAATGGCAACTATATGCAACCATTATGATGTTTTACCCTCAAGACAAGGTTTCTCTATGATGCCCTGGCAGTCTTGAAACTCACTCTGTAGACCAGGCTGACCTTCAGAGATCTGCCTGTCTCTGCATCCCAAGAGCTGGGGTTAAAGGCACAAGCCAAAGCCCAGTAATCTGGCTTATTTTGCAAGGATTATGAGGATTCAATTCAGGTTCTCATGCCTTTGAGGGAAGGACTTTACCAATTAACCCATTTCTTCAATGTATCCCTACCCCATCTTTCAAATAAAGATCCATGCCTCCCTTTTCCTTAAAGTTAAAACATTATTATGCTCTATAAAACTGAAATACAGCAAGAAGTGTTTGATAGGTATTTCATGTCAATAGGGTAACTACCTTTCACATTTCTCATATGTATCCCTCCTTTACAAGAATGCTTTCCATTTGCATTACTAAGTTAAAAACATATTCCTCTGTCTAAGATCCCAACCAGCCCCCAAGCACTCTGTACTGCCACACCTGAAGTGGCTTCACCTCATTACACAGGGTACTCAGCTCCTCCTGAAAGATGGATATTGTTGTTCTTTTGCTGCAGCTGTGGACAATGAAACACAAACAAGAGACTCAATGAGGCCACATGGTGTTTATTATTGGAGGGAAAGAACAGAGGAGAGAGAGATGAGGTACCCATGAAGTGGCCACGCTAGGCATGCATCTCCCAACCATCATTAGGGGGCAGTGTCAGCACAATTCCCAGTTTCCAACAGATATGCTTTCGAAAAGCTGTCTCATGAGGCTTCCCTCCTCTTCAGCAATCATCCTATCCAGAAAATCCTATGAGAGAGAAAATGATTGAAAAGCCTGGAGCCACTGGGAATAAAACACCACAAAACCAACTAGGATGTAAAAACACATAATTTCAAATTTTGCAGAAAGAGCTTTAAATAAACAAAATCAGGAAGAACCTGTGCTATCCCAGTATGAATGACCAAATATTACTTTTACTCTTTATTATTATGTGTGCTCATGATGTGGGGTTGTAGAATGCAGATGCCATAAAATGAGTATAAGGAGAGAAGACAACATTATGGACTCAATTCTTGCTTTATAGCATATATGGATGGGTTCTGGTGATTTAGCTCAGGTCTTCAGGCCTATATTATGGAGTTGCAGGTGCCTTTACTTACTAAGTTACCTATCCAAAGCCCCTAATTGTCTCTCTGTGTGTTGTCTCAAATAAGACAGCAACATCCATACATACTGTTCTCACTGCATAAAGACCAGTACCACTCAACTCACCCTGATATGCTTCTTCACAGCCTCAGCTCTTTGCAATTGCTGTTCTTCTGGAATTCCAAATAGTTTCTATATTTCCCAAAGGCAAATCAGAGATTTCTGGTGTCATACAATGGATTCTTCTAGCACTTCACTGAAAATCAATATAAAACCATTTTATTTATAATAGCCATTATCACTGCTGCAAGACTAAAAAACACTATTTTTAAGAGCTAAATTGAGTAGCTTCCCAGTGGCCATTAGAGTGGAATGAAATCAGAGTAAGAATACTAGTTGAATAAGCCCATATTCATTCTTTGTGCCTTCTAAATGCCACAGAAGCAAAGTTATTATATTTATTCTTAACAAGACCCAATGACATTTACAAATGTATTTATAAAAGAAAAACAAACAAAATGTCCTAACATAAGAGCTTGCATGTAAAAATCCCCTGGAAACAGATGGCAAAGAGCTGGCTATGGTTTCTTATGCCTCTGAAGCCTGCATTTGAGAGGCTGAGACCAATCTGTGAAATAGAATGAGAGCCTTTAATCCCATCACTCCGGAGGCAGAGGCAGGTGGATCTCTGAGTTCAAGGCCTACAGACTGAGTTCCAGGACAGGCAGTGCTATACAGAGAAACTCTGTCTTGAAAAACCAAAAAAAAAAAAGTAAAGAAAACAAAACTAGGGCTGGGACTGTAGCTCAGTGGTAGAGCTCTTACCTAGCATCTTTAAGGCCCAATGTTCACTTCCCAGCACAGGCCAGGGTTGGGTGAGATGGTAATAGAAAGCCTTGGCACAGTTCTCACTAATATAGCCTAGAGTATCCTTAAACCCAAGATTATTCTCTCAGGCTCCAGAGTGCTGGGATTACAGTCGTTCACCACAACACTCAGCTTGATTCTTAAAGTAAAACTAGTACCTCAAGGAAAGGTTAAGCTTAAAAGATATCATTACAGTCTAGAGAGATGGTTCAGCAATTAACACCACTGGATTCCCTTCCAGAGGACAAAGGTTCAATTCCAAGAACCCACATGGCAGCTCACATCTGTCAACTACCAGGTACAAAGCTGTACATGGCATTATAACATTGTGAATGAATTAGCTGTGTCTTGCTGTAGATTCTTCCTGTAGCTTATTACTTTCTGTAATAAATGTGAGGTTTAATTCCCACAGTTCACCACCATCTGATCATTTACTGGGAACAAATTTCTCTCATGCATTTGGAGTTTTACTGATTACCCTCCCTAGCTATGTGTAGAACCTGTTCTCTATTAACAGGTCCTACTTTACTAATTACATCCTTTAGTTATGTGTGAGGCCTTATTCCCCTCTCTATTGTAACTGCAGAGATCTGCCTTCCTGAAATTATCTTTATTGGCAGACATTTGGTCAGTGTTTAGGGCATTCCCAAATATCCAAAGACATAGAAATACTACACAACCAAAGTTGTTGATTCATAGCTGCCTACATGGGTAGAAAATATAAGCATGGCCTTGACTTTACCTCACTGGAAGAGAGAGAAAGTGGTAACCTAAACTAACCCTGCATTAAAAGATTCTCAAACTTCTTGTTATATTAACTCAAGATTTTAACTCAGAGATTTACTGCTCCCTCCTGTGTCCTCTGACAAGATAAAAACAAAGATAATCAACCCATTTGCTCATCCTCAGGGAAAAGCAAACTTTCCTATAGGCCTGTGTTGCCACTGAGGCTAGAGCACTGGAAGATTCCAGGTTTTATTTCTTGTGCAAATCAAAAACTAGACCCTCCCTTTTACCTACAGTCCTAAGTAATTGATGCTAAAAGTTTCTCAGAGTAGTTTTAGTTTATTGTTCTCTGTGTAAATCTTATCTGCCTTTCTGACCCTGAGAAACTCAAGCCTGGCAATACAAAAAGAATTATCCTTGCAAAATTGTATTGTAAAAAGAATTACTGTTGCAAGCATTCCTTTACCCCCCCCCCCCAAGAACTTGGGGAAGAGAAGAAAGAGGCAAAAGAAACAGAAAAAAAAAAACAGTTAGGGAGAAGAAGACAAGAAATGGAGAGACAAAGAAACACAGAGATAGACAGAAACAGAAACACAACAGCAGGAGGGAAAAAAGAAAGGAAGAAGAATAAAGAACATCAAGAAGAACAATTGTGTGTATCAATTCTTTTTCCCCTCAGATTTTAGTTCCCTCACTTATTTGTAGTTCCTTATTTTGAAAATTGAGCAAACCTTTTGGAAGCTGGACCATCGCGTCTACCTCGGCCAGCAAGGAAACACAACCACAACTCTTCTTCAAAGCAGTTTATTCAGGAACCTTGTACATCAGCTTCTGATTGCCCCAGCTTCAGCAAGCCCTTAAATGTGCGCTCACTGCCCAATCAGCTCATGCCACCTGGCGATCCCAGATAGGCCACAGAAGGAGGAAGTGCACCAGATCCATCAAGCACTTCCAAATAAGGCTTGTTTACAACTAAGCTCGGACTACCTGGCATCCAGCCAGGCACCATCATGGGGCTGTGGCTTCCCACACTGGACTTTTAAAGTGTTTGATAATCCCAGAAAAGCTTAAGTATAATGCCATTCAATTAAGAGCATCTGGAATCCTTGGCCTTTTGTTGAATTTGTATTCATTAAGTGTTTGTATTCCATTCCCATTCTCTTGAGGCCAAATATTTAGGAGTAAAATATATGATCAAAATCAATAATCACTTAACAAAGACTCTTACAAATTACAGAGTCAATAACTTCAAGGCCATACTAAATCTCACAATACTTCACCCACTACTTTCAGAAGGCATTTGTATAGTTTCAGTACAAGGGCCCTATTATTTTGGAAGTGCAAAAACTGGCATTCAGCATCTTGCCCCAAGAGTCAGTTCTGGTCCAATTGCAAACTGAACACTCCCAAAAGCAGTGCCTGGGAATCTTGAAACAATTTGTAAAAAATTCTGCACTTTGAGTTTGTTAAGTTGCAAGGAAATCAAGCCATTTCCGATTTAAAAAAATGTCAGCAGCAAAGAGTAGTCACAAAGAAAGACAATACACTGTTTGACCCAGTCTCACTGCAAAGCCTAGGCTAACCTTAAAGCGGTCTTCTTGCCCCAGCCACCCAAGCAATGGGGTTCCAGGCTTTACAGAATAAAAGCCAACCATTACAGGCTCCACATTTACCCAGAATGGTTGTTAGAACCTGCACATGACATGCAGCAGCATAGCAGGAGTAGCCAGGACATAAGGCAGCTCCAGCCACAGTTCTAGCACCTTCAAGCGGCAGTCAACTGAGCCTGAATTTAAGAAGCACCCGCCTGGGTCTCCACCCTGTCCAGCTTGCTGTTAGCCCTGTATAGTAAGAATATTCACTTTGTTCATACCTGTGGCACTGACCATGCCCATTGGGGTTGGGGACTTGGGTGGATGTTGCCTGGGGGAACTAGGTCTGAGGAGGGGCCCTGGGAGCTCTCTTCCTTGCAACATGGAGACAGAAGAACATCTGGAGGCTTCCTTGAGACCAGGAATCTGCTGGTGTTCATCTGTCTATGTTGGAAGTTATTTCTTCCTGAATAAACATCTATTAGGCCTATTTGTTTCTCCTGATCCTTATTAAATCATGATAGCCCTGCTAGTGGCCCTGGGCCCAGCTACCCTTTGGAGTCCAATCCAGTGCTCCATCCTCAGATATCAGGGCCTGAGCCCAGGCATATGCTTGTTCTTAAACCTGGCACCAGACCACATCTCAGTAGTGGCTCCCTCCTCTAAGAGACCTGTACCTTTTTGTCATGGCAGACACGCCAAACAGTCAAGAATCAAGATCTTCCACCTTCCTCAGACAGGTGCATGCTGAACACACGTGTTTATGAGGCCAGTAAGGTTCTCTCCAGCAACCAGGAGCTGGGAAGACACAGACAGACCAGCCTTTTAGATCTCCAGCCTCAGTGTGATGTCGTCCTCCTTCTCTAAGCCGGGAAGCCTCTAAAATTGAATCATTTACTCCATTTATGCAGAGATAGGAGCTCTTAGATCAAGATTGGTGTGTTGAAAATCTGATTGAGAGCCACCAGACTAGGCAAGGGTGGATGGAAAAGCAGAGTACAAGCTGGCACCCCTCCCCACTTCCCGCAAACAGCTCTGGCATGCCAGGCTCTCCAGATGAGCCACTCAGGTATTCTCACTAACAGGCAAAAGCAAAGGCTAGATCCTAGCTTTCATTCCTCCCCAGGGGATTGGTTCTACATGACACATGGCCTACGTTCTGCATCAGTAGGTTTCTATCCCAGAGGATCATCTCAGAGCAGTACCTTATGGGAAATACATTATTATGTGGATTCCCTCACTCAGTCCTGATTTTTGCTTCGACGGAAAAAGTAAAACAAAACAAAACACAGTTTAGATTTTCTAGCAGTCAGTCCAAACCTGAATCCTCAGTATGCCACCAAACCTGAATCCTCAGTAGGTTACTCTAAATCTTGGGTCCTCTTTATTCTGCACTAAATTTAAAGTATATTTCCTGATGGGAACTGGCTGGAGGACACTAATATGAATATGTACATGATTACTGAAAGGAAAGCAGGGATGGTGTATGTTCAAAAGTTCTGTGTCTAAGGAGGAAAGGGGGCAATTAAAGAAAACACAAAGTTGCAGCCCTTACTCAGCTCCAGGCTCACTTCACCCTGAGAAACGATGTCCACCCCCTCCACTGCCCACCCATCTGTTAGCCACTGGTGGCAGGTCTAGGCAAAGTCTCTCATCTTCATCTTCCACACAAATAGGACAAGGGAATAAGATTTTATGTATTTTATGTCCTGTGTTTTACTGTACATTGCATCCCCTCCCAGAAGGCTCACTTAAGCTGAGGCATGGAGACACTAATTTGGGAGAGGAAGCCTGAAGTCTAAGGTCTCAGGGCCATGTGAATCCTGGTTTTATTCCATTTATCTTGCTGTCCCATGCAGCCTGGGACAGCGGTGGGATGGGGTGTCCAGTAATTTGGTGAGTGGTACCAGATACCAATTTCTATGCTCCTCTGAGCACTGGCTCTTGCCTGGAATCAAATCAGGTGCCTCTGACACCTGGGACCTGGGGTGACAGACTTGAGGACTTGGGTCTCCAGAGTCTGCCCACTCTTAGGAAGAGCCAGGGAAAAAAGGGGGGGTTCCTTGGAAACACCCAAAAGGCAAACCCCACAACAAAAGGCTAGCCTAACCCTAGAGGTGGGGGTGGGGGATGGGACCAGGGAAGCTGTCACTTCTCTCCAAAGGCAAGACCTGTGGGTGGCTCAAGTTTTAAGCTGAAGCTGGTTCCCAGATTGGGGGCCCCAGGGGGGGGCACACTGTTGTTTTCATGTTTGTGTGTGTGGGAGGGTAGAATTTTGCCTGGATGCTTTATATCCTCATAAACCTGGCCTGAGAGCAGCTGCACAGGACTGAGGAAAAAGCCACAAAGAGGGACAAACCCAGAGGGTGTGAGCTAGTGAAGGCTGAATCCATGTACCCACCAGCTAGACTTTTCAGAGAGATTGCTTTCATTTTTAGAATAAAACTGAAAGTGCAGCCAGTCCTTGGGACATAAGCTTACACCCCTGTGAGTCCTCTAAAACACACTGACACTTGTTGGGTGAGGGTTCTTTTGTTTTGTTTTTATTTGGGGGGGAATTAAATTCAGCTGGATATTTCCATTATTCAACCTGATTTTTAGACTGGTTAAAATAATCCTTTAGTAGCTAAAATATTGACTTACTAAGCACTAAGTGGCAATTCATACCATAAAGAAACTAGTGTAAATTGCTTACCAAAGAGCTGCTGGTTCCCTTTAGTCTGAAGCATTTTCATTCAAATTGTTGGAACAAGTATCAGGCTTTTTAAATCCCACTATAATTTTCTCTTCACTTTACTGGCTATCCTATTCAACCCCACCCCACCCCCTTTAAAAATATATGTGTGTCTTCCTCTTTTAATTGGGGTTATTGAAATAATCAAGTTTTCCTCCTCAACCCAGTCAGTCATCTTTTCTTCTCTCTCACTCCACCTCACACCTGCCCCGCTCACCAGACCCCTTGAGCCCTCTTTAGCCAGGTGTTCCCCGTTTCCCAGTGACTGAAGTCTAGAAGAGTGGGCAGCTAGCATGCCTGAGCCCTGTGCCAAGGCCTGGAGTCACCACCACCCACCCACCCCGGGCGGAGGTGGTCCAGGGAGCCTGCATGCTGGCCCACCAGCTTCCACTGGTCTCAGGTGCCTGAAGCTGCACATGCTGCCCTCATATGGGGCCTTCAAGAGTCCAGCAGGGCTGACACTGTAATGCAAGCAGTGCCTGGGCTCATGTCAGAGGAGTGAGGGTGGCCTACAGCCGCTAACCTGTAAAGGCACTGGGGAATGAGGATTGATGATCCCAGATCCTTGGATGGGGCGGGGTATGGGGTTGTGGGTCTCCAGGGGCCTTGCATGTATGCAAATCCCAGAGACAGGATGGGGAAAACTGAGAAGGGAGAACAGCCAGTGAGGTGACACCGCCCCGGAATTATTGAGACATGCTCCTCCTCTGTCCAGCTTTCCCCTTCATCCTAGCCCCAGTCCATGGTCTCGGGCTCCATCTGCCCTGCCAGGCAAGTGTATGTAGTGAGATTTTTACTTTGTCTCCTTCTGTGGCACTGACCACACCCACTGGGGGGATGGAGCCATGTGTGGAAGTGACCTGTGGAAGGAGGTCTGAGGAAGAGCTGGAATGCTCTCTTGCTGGTAGGACTCAGACAGGAGAGCATCCGGTGGAACTTGCTGGTGTTCACCTGTCTAGGTTGTAAGTTATTTCTCCCTGAATAAACATCTATTTGGCCTATTTGTTTATCCTGATCCTTATTTAACCGCAATAAGTGTATGTGCAGCAGCTGCAGCCAGGAAATCATGGACAAATACCTCCCAAAGGTAAGATGGGGAGGGCACTAGAGCTCCAAAGCGAGTCTGCCTGAGGCTCTGGGGACAAGTGCCCCACCCTCTGTAAACCAAGGCTCTATAGACCCTCTCAGCAAAGTACTCTACTCCAGGGCCCACATCAAGGAGGGGAAAGTGCAATAAGGAATCATTGGGGTTTTGTGTTGTGAAACTGTATACAGACAAGGGTTTCCTAGGTGTGTGCTGAGGGCTTGGGAAGGCACCACCAATCCTGAAACAATTGCCAGTTGCCAGGGTTTTTGTTTACCAAGCCTAGACCTTTACTTTAAAATCCTGCACTCTACAAACTGGTACCTCCTCTCTAATATGCCCATATTATTGTCTTCTTAAAATAGCCCAGGTAGGTGTAACAACTGATTCACCATCGCCTCCTC